TACCAACTGTAACAATTTTCAGAGAAAGTACTCATTTGCTATACAGCTAAGACATATTGAGTTTGTTTAGTTTTAGTAATCAGAATGGTTAATGCTATAATCTGATGAAAGGCGTCTAATATGCTTTAAAAGTTTTATTAAACATTATTAACACATGTTTGCCCCTTTTAAAAGAATAAATATTATTCTTAAATGAGCAGCGTCACGACAAAACCAACATAATGCGTTTGCGATCAGCATGGATCCAGACCAGCCTGCGCATCCGCACAGTCTGATCAGGATCCATGCTATTCGCTTACCAAAATCTACAAGTAGATAAACTGATAGCGAACAGCATGGATCCCGATCAGACTGTGCGGATACGCAGGCTGGTCTGGATCCATGCTGGTCGCAAACGCACTATGATGGTTTTGTCGTGACGCGGCTTAAATGTGCCTTTAACAATAAATTATTCATTAATACTCTTTTTAAATAAATCACTTTTGACAAAACAAAACAAAGGAAAAGGAACATTAAATTGCGACCCTTCAAATTTAAGATTGGTGATTATGTACGAATCAGTCATTTGCACACTGTCTTTACACGGGCGTATGATGAGACCTACACTGGAGAATTGTTTAGAAATCACAAACGATATCATAGAGGGAGATTTCCAATCTACCGTCTTCAAGATTAGCAACAAGAAGAAATCAAAGGAACATTTTATGAGAGGGAGCTTCAGAAAATAAACTGTGATCCTGATCAAACAATTAGAATAGGGCAAGGGAATTAACAAGCAGTATCTTGTAAAATTGAGGTATTATCCAAAAAAAGTTTAATTCATGGATAGATGTCCGAGACATGGAGTAAATGTGCATCTTATATGTTGTACAGTATTTATCAAGTTACTTGAGTATATTCTTATATATATTATTAATGTAAACTAGTCTAAATAAATGTAATAAACAGGATTATATCTTTTTAATTGTTTTCGTTTGTCATAAGCTACTATTACTAATGAGAACTACGTATTTGGTCGAAACACTTATTAATGCACTAAATCTTTGGCGTAGTTGCGTCCCACAAATACACATGTACACCGCGTTAACCGCTTCACACTCAAAATTTTAAGTTTTAACCAGCAACTAGTCAGTTTAACTATCGTAACATAGTGTCAGGGGCGTACCTTGGCTTATCATGGGTGTACGCCGAGTGCCGGTTTTTCGCGGAAGGATCGCCAGATACTTAATTATTATATATCAAAAATAGCTATGTGCTATAACTAAGGATTTAGGAGATATTTAAGCTAATTGTACTACTGTTGTCTTTATCTATAGTTATGAAAATAACATCAAGTACATATATTGAATGTAAGAGAAATAGCACGAAGTCTAACGTGTACACTTTTACGCTTTTAGAAAAACAAAATATAGCCAGGTGTCTCTTGTAAAAAGATGGGTTTTATTTCCTTTTGTAACAATTAAGTTTAGTTTTTTTTCTTTGTTATCGGCTTGAACCAGCTGCAATCATGCCAATCGCAACTTTTCGGCCCTTTCCGTCTGATAATAGCCGAGTTAGTTCCGATTGCAATCGTGACAATTCGGGCGATTCCGTCATACTGCAGAATCAGACGAAGAAATATTACGGAAATCTAAGCTGTTTTAGTTACTTCGGTAATCCCAGTTTGTTTATATAAAAAGGTTTTCTATTTTTACTTGATTCCGTTTCAATTCTTTTTCAAGACGCAAACGTTAGTTTCTTTTATAATTGGTTTTTGTCTTTATTAGTTTTATACAATAGAGAATGGTTACTTCTCCAAGGGCGGTCCTGCTTACCAAAAGATCGTGACCGAATCACGCAGAATATTAGTGCATGATCAAGTTATATTTAGATCTACTGACAGAGTTTAAACGTCTTGGTGAGGTAATCTAAAAATAGCCCATGCATATCATTAACCTTACCACGTGCTGATCTCCTGTGTTGTCGATCTGTAACATAGTTGATACATGCTTATTAATTGATACCACGTAACGAAGTCTTTTAGTGCATTAGCTGCTATATAAATGAAATTAGCAACTACCAAAACGAATGACTCTCTCTGCGAAAAAAGTAAAAATGAAATGTGCACACTTGTTTCCCTTCGGTATGATAGATTAATCTCCACGTGAGAGCCAATGTTAGTATTTTTACGATTGATTTATTTTCTTTATTAGTTTTATACAATAGAGAATAGATTTCGAATCGTGTTTGACAAAAAAATATTCCTTTTTACAAAAAAAGTTGCTACTGTTATCGTCAGCATGTTCCCGTTCAGTTATAATCACCTATTTTGTCCAAATTTGCACGCATAACACTGGTGGTCAAACAAATGGACACAGGTGCTCGTCCAGTCTTGGGCTTACCCTACCTATCCCTTTAAAAGTGAAACTTTTTTTCGAGAAAAAACTAAATAAACCCTTTATGATATACAAATGCCGTAATTAAAAAACAATTGTGATAATAAATTGAAACAAAAAAAAATGTAAAGGGAAGGGATGATGGCACAACTGAGCAAGCCTTTCCTTTTAAAAGGAAACTTTATTTTTCTTTTGTTTCACCATAACTTAACGTGAGATATAATCAAGGAAAATATGCTTTAAGATGATCTGTATGACTTTAATACAAACTCAACAGCTTAAATGTTTAGTGTAACGAAAGTTATCGTATTCACTGCTAAAATGTAGTATCGCACGATCATTTAGCTTCCTTAAAATATTTTAAATGCGCATTAGGTCAATGTTGTAGACAATCAATATTGTCTTTAACATTTTTGTTCTCAGCTCTAGTCTTTCAATTTCCATTCGAAATATTTCAGTTATTTCATTACGTAGTTAAATGTATGTATTTACAAAATATATCACTACAGAAAATTGTTTCTACTGTATTATTTTATTGAGTAAAAAATGCACACTTCTGAAAACAATGATGTATATATATGAAAATTGTTGCTACTGTATTATTTTATTGAGTAAAAAATGCACACTTCTGAAAACAATGATGTATATATTTGAAAATTGTTTCTACTGTATTATTTTATTGAGTAAAAAAATGCACACTTCTGAAAACAATGATGTATAAATATGAAAATTGTTTCTACTGTATTATTTTATTGAGTAAAAAAAATTCACACTTCTGAAAACAATGATGTATATATATATATATAATTTTCTGTAGTGATATATTTTATAAGTACTGGTATTCTTTTTTACGGTCAATAAACAAAAGTTGAATTTGGTTTGTGACGATGGATGTTGGCAAAAGTTAACTGCAAAGATCTGATTCACAGTGTCAAAACTATTCTACATAATTTGAAATGAATATAAGTTAAATGAATATTACTAACTTAAAAATAATATACTGATTTATAGTTACAAGGTAAAATATAAAAGACATTCTAAATTCTTCTGAAAAAGGTGATTGTAATATATTGGCCAATTTCTTATCCTTATTTGGATTATGACGAGGTTTATTAGAATTATAACACTTAACTCAAGCTGAAAAAAAAGAGAGAATTCCAAAGAAATTACTAATATCATATTTTTACTCCCTTTCTTCATAATTGAAGTTTTGATTGTGCATAAAAAGGTAACGCATATTCGAATAAGGTAACATCCTGAGCATACCTGTAGTATCATTTAGCAGCTACGAATATTTTGATCGATCTACGCCCAAATTAATGATTTCAAATTTGAAATTTTATTTTTTTCGAAACTTTTTCTTTTTATAAGCCCGTGCGTATTTGCGTATCGGTAGGTACGCCACTGAGTGTATCGTATTAAGTTTACCTGTATTTTGTCGTCTGCTTTAAGATTTTAATGTTATGCTACCCGCCGATAAAGTATAAAATACAATGTATTGAGGGGAAAAAAGAAGGTATATCATGTCAAAAATTAATTTTGGTTTGTTGATCATCATTACTTAATAATATGTTGTCATAAAACGTGTCAGTGAAATCCCTTGTCTAAAAATAGATACAGTTTTCTCCATTATATGACACTAATTTTAGTTTGGAAAACCCTCGATATATAAATAAATAACCAATATACATTCTCTATAGAATATTAAATGGTCTTGTCAGTTTTTGGTAAATATAAAACTAATATTGAAAGGAAAATAACAATGCAATTGTTTGAAATCTCAGTGTCACGGTGTACAGTATCATATAATTGAAGATTATTTGGCTCCATTCCTTGGCGTTTTGCTTTTTTTCCTAACTTTAGCGGACAGCTAGGTTTAAGTACATTGTTAAACTTTACAGTCAAATATGTGCCGTTTATACATCTAGAGTATAATATTTTGTCATCTGCTCTCTTTCACAACTGGAGTGTTTGAATGGCCGTTAAAGCTACACATACCTGTTGAAATAGCTGAACGTTAATCAAGTTATCGGCAGTAAATCTACGTACGACAGATGTGTTCTGTTTTGAAGAGTATTCGCCTATTTTATGTATAGGATATCGACCGAGTGTTCAGGAAAGACCTGGTCACGAATTTCATGTGACACCGAGAGTGCGTAGCGCTCGAGGTGTTTCATGAAATTCGTGACCAGGTCTTTCCTAAACAGAAAGATCGATGTACGAGGCTGATATCCAACTTACACACCGTAAAACTATGAGCAATGGCTGATTCGGAACATTTGATGTAAGGGGCCAGTTACACAGACGGTCGGTCCCAAATCGGTCATTTAATTTTAAATTCACTCGCTGTTATGATCGGTTGTCATGCGTGATTTTTTCTGGTTTTCTGTGTAAACGACAATCGGTGACAGTAAGCAATCTCAAACGGGGTTGGGTCGATGATTAAAATGCTGAAATACTATCGGTTTTCATCGTTTGTAAATCGGAGCTAAATTGGGCGTAACGCTGACTCATCGGTTTACTGTGGTTTCTCTTATTATTTGATAATTTCTTTTTTTCGTACTTTGTGACCAATTGGTCTAGTCATGTCATAACTTTGACAGTATTTGAAGGAACTTTTTGGGGGTAAAAATATGGTTTAATCTTAATGGCAGCATATATAACTTTTTTTTATTTTATAGACAGCTTTATAAACGAAAAGCATATTCAGCGCATGCGCATAAGACTTATTTCAACTTCCCTCACGCGTTTAAACACGGAAGTAAAATAAAGAAAATTGAAAGGTAATTTTTACAATTATTTTCACTTTCTGTTGTTGTCAGATTGATCGACAGCAAAAACTAATCTATGGGACCCTCAGGGTTTGATGGCCGTCTGTTTTTGTTGGTCGCCATCTCAAATTCCTCTAAAATAAAAACATGTACACTTTCTTTTTATTGATTTTTAAGGAAGTTATCGGGAGTTTTCATATAGACATATAGGCAAAATTAAAACTGGTCAATATAATTTCTATAAGCTTGGCATGTTGTTAAAATGTGATAACAGAAACATTTTAAGCGGAAAAAATGTGGAGTCATCGTTTTCATTTTTGAGTTATCTGCCCTTGAATGTTTTTTTTTTTGTTAAATTCACGGGCATGTATTTAACGGAAAAAAGAAACAATACCTTATTTTTTCTTTTTTTCAAGAAGCTTACCTTCGTTTTAGTCAATATGCAAAATGTCAAAAACGAGTTAAGAGTGGAAAGTTTTTGTCCACCTTTTATCTAACCTCTGCATTTATTCTTAAAAAATGACCTATTTTTAAGAATTTTAGGTACCTTTATTTTTATTTAACAAAAATAAACAGAAATTATATAATGAATTGCATGTTATTATGTATTTTGCTCAACAATAAAAAAAGAAAAACATAATCGAAAAGTACAAACAAAAATCATTGAGGTATGTGTCATTTATTCCCCCTATAAATGACCTCAAATAAGTAGAAAATTCTGATTCAGGGGCAAATAACTCAAAAACGAGAATGGTGACCCAAATTTCTCTTCGCCTAAAATGTGTCTGTTATCACATTCTAACAACATGCCAAGTTTAAAGAAATGTTATTGAACAGTTATAATTTTGCCTGTATGTCTATATGAAAACTCCCGAAAACGTCGTTAAGTATATTGAACGGGACCGGAAAGTACATGGACATCGATATAGCAAAACCATTTAGCATTTAAACTTATATTTATACATATGTTTTACATTGATAGATCAAATAAATACACTTAAATTGTTTGTATCAAACTTGGATGTGTTTTAATATGTTTTTTTTTTCTTCTAAGAAAACATTGTGCTTTTTGGTGATGTATTATTTTTCTCACACACGAAATCAATAATTTAACAATGCATTCTGCAAATATCATTAAGATTAATAACAAGATTTGTCAATAAAAAACGTTATATAATAGGTTTTTAACTTTTTTATCGATACTTTACACAAAACAATAAATAAAATAATCATTTAAGCTTATCATTTCGTTCTATCTCACTCTATAATTTGCTATCGATTATATAAAAGTTATGTACTTCAAAGTTAAATTGTAAGGCATTGTTAAACCTGAAATATGATAGGGTAATATCTCTACATGTCTGAATGTTTGCATTATCCAACTTTATGAAAAGATAATGTTTGTTTGCAAGGTAGTTGCGAAAAAGATTTATTGGATTTGTTCGAGATTTAAAGAGGATTACTATGATGTAGGTTCCCTGAAAGATTTGAATTGATGATAAATCGTATTTAACCATCTGGTGATAAACTTAAAATTGTATTGTATGTGTCAGTTATCTGCCCTTGAAATGACCTCAAATAATAGAAAATTCTGATTTAGGGGCAGATAACTCAAAAACGAGAATGGTGACCCAAATTTCTCTTCGCCTAAAATGTTTCTGTTATCACATTCTAACAACATGCCAAGTTTAAAGAACATGTCATGATTTATTATGCCCATCTGGAGGATTCTTTTTGGTTTACATTGAGATCAACTTTAACTAAAAATATCACATTTTTACCTTTACTTTAAAATAAATTAACTTTGATGCGAACTATCCACCAGGTCTAGTTTATATTCAATTTTTTTAGTCAAATTTTCCTCCAAGTGTGGCCATAAAACAGAAGGCCTTTTTCTCACAAACTAAAGCCGACCAATCGATCAACAATCCGCGTCCCAAAAAACGTTCATTTTAACCATAAAACATATACATTAATCTTTGCAATGAAATAAAAATGCTTAATAATTTCACATGTATTTATCTTCATGCTCCTAAAACCTTAAAGATCAAAGGACCAACTTGAGCTCTATTTACTTAAACAAGTTGAAAGGCAAATCATTCCACATCCTTCAAACTTCACAAATTCAGCTACTTTTATTGGTTAGATCTTCTAGACCAACTATGTCGTTGTCAAAGGTAATCGTCATGCCTTAGGCCGGTATTCCATCTTTACGGGAACGTGTAGCGTGAACGTGAAGCGCGAACGTGAAAAATTAAACAAATGTTTTTCTGTTGTATGTATTCGTTCCTTATCGGCGCGAGCGCGACGTGAGCGTGGAACACGAATTTATGACATGTGACCGTGTAACTCGAGCTTGAAACCGATTGCTACATAAAATAATTTATCACGTTCACGCACGGCATTCATTGACGAGAAGCCACCATGAAAGGTCCTCTGTCTATGCAAGATGCAACAGAAAAATGTATTGAAGAAACTAGAAAATGCCCTATTCTGTCCGACCAGTCCCTAAAGGAGTACAGGGACACAGACATCAAAAGCCGGGTGTTGCAGACAATTGCTTACTCTCTCAACATTCCTGGCTTTAAAGGTAAACCTAACATAAATTAACTTCAGTTGCAAAACAATGTTAATTTAAGTGTGTATAGTTTTTGCAAACATGCTATGACAATTCTGTTGTAATTACAAAATTCAAACATTAAATTATTTTTTCATTACAGATGAGTTGACAAATTCTTGTTATGCATGAAAACATTAAAAATACCCAGTTACCAAGCATATTTATAATTAAGCTCAAACCTTTTTTAATTGAGTTCCCCTCGCAAGATAAACAAAATAAACAAACAAAATACAATTTCTTCACGTTTGCTGAAAATTGAACCCACTATTTGATCACACACTACTGTTCTACAACGTTCCATACGACATCGTGGGGCCTCTGTCATTGCAGCATTTTTTCAGACCTATCTTTTAATTATTCATATTTTAAATTTTCAAACCAAGGTGGTGATGTGTGGAAACGATGGCGAACACTGCGTGACACTAATGTAAAAAAGAAGCGCGAAATCGTATCAAGTAAAAAATCTGAGAGGGAGACTAAAACCAAGAAGTCCTATACTCAAGTTTTTGACTCCTTACGTCCAAGAAGTAAGGTAATGGAAGTATAATTATTTATGTATGGAACAGAATTAGTGCATTTATTCCATCTTGCTTGATGATATTGGGACTTACATTATGCTTGCTTCCATACTTTTTTATAACAATGGGAACCTACGTTTTGCTGAATACAATCTTGCATTATGATTACTTTATGCACTATTATGTAATTGCAACTTCATGTGTTCCTTTCTGAACCATCAAACTCACATATTTTAATATGCTATGTGTTTATTTTAATCTATGATCAAGGACAGCGTATTATGTTCGCTGTTTAAAAGAACATTCTTTGCTTGTTCTTGATATAAGTAGATGCAAAATGGCAAGTTCCTGTCGGTACCTTTTATTTGTTCTAAATCTGCCACTTACATTGTCGACACTATTTCACAATAAATAATTGATTTTGATCAATGCTTGGCGAATTCGATGTGTCTTAGCATTCATGTTTCAATACATTCACTGATTACAAATATAATGCAATACATGATCACTGCGCATCGACAACGAAGATGACAACCATAGCGATATTATAGTCGCATGTTACAGTACGCACTAAGCGGTTGACAGTAATCATAATGCGAGTTGCAATATTTTGTTTTCATATTATGACAGCAGGTGTCGCTTTGTCGGTACATCCCGTTATTTTCCGGATGGTCCCGCTATTTTTGCACGTGGAGTAAAACAAAGTTACATCCCCTTATATAGGGGCGTATACCGTACAGTGTTATTTGGGGGCTGACATGTAAGTGGAAGATTATAACTGTTCACGAATATATTTTTCTATCAGACTGCATAAATATATAAAGTTATATTGCATAACCTTTTTCTACTTATATTTATATTCTTTCCTGGGCAATTTATATATTTAGTGCTTGATACGCATTTTTACGCAAAATAGTCATCGCAGTTTGTGTACGGAAAATACCGATGATAGGCGAAATGTGGAAAAATTCCGTTGATCTCGATAGCAGAGTTCTCGCCCCTTAACAGTTCACACTCGTTAGACATTGTTTAAATTGCTTATATATATTGTAAGATGATCAAACACAACCCACTAAGCATCAGACACCGGACTTTATTTAGCATAAACACTGAATAATGGAAATAAGCGAAAGCTAACAGTAATCACGCCATGCCAGCGATAAATCATATAAGTCACACCTTAAAAAAATCCATCGTGTAATTTAAGGTGTACAAAAGGAAGTAGGGAAGAAGAATAGGTCTTTTTTAAATCACTTCTACATAAAAGTAATACAAAAAAGAACTAAACCGTATAAAGTTTGTAAAGAGCATGAAGAAAGGTAGCTTATACATAAAGGTATATGACGTTAACATTTTAATATTCCAAAACAGTACGATAAATGGCTTGTGCAAGTTTAATAGTTATCACTCAATGATAGAATTAGTCACTACGAAAGTTTTAATGAAATAATGAAAAATAGAATGCAGCTTAAGTTAAGATATCATAAAGCAAGATGGAATCAAGCATAATGCAAGTTCCAATGTCATCAAGCAAGATGGAATCAAGCGTAATGCAAGTTTAAATATCATAAAGCAAGATAGAATCAAGCATAATTCAAGTTCCAATGTCATAAAGCAAGATGGAATCAAGCATAATACAAGTTCCAATGTCATCAAGCAAAATAGAATAAATGCATTAAATCTGTTTAATAGTTATGTTTGCCTTTCAATGTCATTGTACTTAGTAACATTTTTTATTTTTCATATCTACCATGTTTACAGTATGTTTATATATGTGTACATTAATTTCCAAGACAACATGAAATATTTAAACATTTTCTTATATAAATTAACCATTCAATTATATCACAAGCGCATTTGCGTACATGTCAATC